TAAAATATTCATAAGCTGTTTTCTTATGTTTTAGAATAAATTTGGAAAACTATTTACAAAAACAAAATTTTGATTTGAGGAAAAAAATACAGAATTTAGAAAAAGAAAAGTCTGATGCCTTAAATAAAGTAAATTCACTACAACATAATTATGATAAAATAAAAGTGATATTTACTCCAGGGCAGGTAAAAAAAATTGAAAGTTTTGGCAGAGTAACCTGGTCGGTGGAAGATATATCATCTGCTATATCTTTATATGCGGCAGGACGTAGAGCTTACCGAATTTTATTGCAACAGTCACCCACTACCTTCTGTAGCAACTTTAAAAAAGTGGGCTCAAAAACTTAAATTAAGTCCAGGTATATTGAGTCCTGTTTTCAAATTGTTGCAAAATGCGACGTATAATGAACTCAAACGTTTGTGCATTTTAATGTTTGATGAAATTTGTATAAAATCTTACTTTGAGTATGATAGCACTAACGACAAAGTGTTGAAACCGAGTAGATATGCACAAATTGTTATGATCAAAGGATTAATTAAAAAATTTGAAATAAATTATTTTTTACAACTTTGATACTCCAATGACGAAAACAATTTTAAAAAATATCATTGAACGATTATATGATATAAATTTTAAAGTTGTTGCTACAGTTTGCGATATGGGTTCAACAAACTATCGTTTGCTAAAAGAACTGGAGATAAATGAAGCACAACCATTTTTCACAGTCAACCAAGAGCCAACATTTGTTTTTGCTGACGTACCCCATCTCATCAAGCTTGTGCGCAATCATTTCTTGGATACAGGATTTGTGTTAGACAACGCTGAAATAAACTGTCAACCTATCAAAGAAATTTTGTTACTACAAAATACTGAATCAAAACTTGCACATAAGCTGACAGATCTTCACATCGAATGCAAAGGAGCTTTACGACAAAAAGTTAAATTGGCAACTCAACTGTTTTCAAATTCAGTATCTTCTGCCATAAGATGTATATCATTAGGATTAATAACAAAAGCTTCTCCAGAAAATAGCCTTGAAACAAGTAAATTTATTAAATTAAATTAATGATTGGTTTGATGTTTTCAACTCCAAAGTTCCGGTCTTGAATTTCATGAATCGGAAAAATGCTTTTGGTTTGGCACAAACTGAACAAAATATAATGTTATGTGAAATGACCAAAACAATGAAAACAATAAAAATTTCAAATCATAAATTGCTGTTGCATGAATATCTAAAAAATAAATATGATATGAAGTACATATTAACAAATACTCGTAAGTTAAATCAAGATGCACTAGAACAGTTTTTTGGTATAATTCGTAGCAAAGGTGGTCTTCATGATCATCCAACTCCCATAAAATTCCAATATCTATTACGTAAATGTTTGTTAGGCCAGTCGCTTTAAAAATATTAATGCATATTATTCATAAAATAACTACTCACTGAAAAAAAATACAATACTACTAATTTTATATTAATTTTTAAAACTAATTTTAATTTTTATAAAATTATTTTCAAAGGTAAAATGTTTTAAAAAAATTGTACAAAAGAAAATAAAAATTCAAATCAATTTCATAATTTTCATTTTGTTAATTTTATCTAGGGAGAAGGGATAATTTACAAAGAGTTGTTCCACATGGAAATGCGGAAGAAACCGAAGATAATATTTCCGAAGACCAACAGTTTTCTCAAAGCTTGTTAGAGCACCTTTCTGAGAAATCTGATGTAATTCATGAAGAAATCGTTTCTGAAGAATTTCCTTTATTAAATGAAATTGAAGAGGATGCAGTAGAGTTTTTGTCTGGTTATTTAAATAAAAAACTTCATTTAGTTTAAGAATCAGAAAGTAATTCAACTGGCTTTACTTGGGTAGATGAAGTTTCAGAAGGCGGTTTAGTAAAACCTAGAACTGATTTTGTTCAAAAGATAAAAAATCTTGAAAATATTTTTATAAAGTTAAATGGTAACCACATATGTATGTATGTATGTTTAAATCAGGGAATTTTAAAAACTTTAATACAAAAATCAAAAGACATTTCCCTAGATATGAATGTTCCATGGGTCTAGATGATTTTAGTTCCATGGGCCAATCGTTAGCCCATTCTTTTGTTTGTTTTCCCTGGGATGATATAAATTTCTTTCGGTCTCTTGGTTTACTGACACATAACCAACCCTTTGATTTTCGTAGGACTACGGTTTCAGAGGTGGAGAGGGTTATGGCAAATTTAAGCATTAAGGCGTCGTTTGGTTGGGATGGTGTCTCGAGCGTGATTCTGAAGGCATCACATGGGGAGCTTTCTCCATTAGTCTGCAACATTTTTAATTCAATAATAGAGACTAGTATATACCCAGACTGCCTTAAAATCCAAACCGTAACGCCAATTTTCAAAACCGGAGATGAAAGTTGCCTTGGAAATTACCGGCCTATTTCAGTTCCTCCTACTCTTAGTAAAATATTTGAAAGGCTTCTGTATAATCAAATGTATTCATACATAACAGATAATAATTTACTTTATGAACATCAATATGGATTTCGTCGTGGTTTGGGCACCCAAACTGCTCTTATTGAACTGGTTGACGTATTATGTAAAAACATAGCACAAAACAAGTTGTTGGGCGGGATGTTTTTAGATCTTAGTAAAGCTTTCGACTCTATTGATCATAGAATTTTACTTGAAAAGTTGGGATTATATGGTTTTTCTTTGGGTGCTATCAATATAATTAACAATTATCTTAATAATCGTAAACAATTTGTTTGTATTAATGGTACCATGGGCGCATCGAGATGCATTGGTGTTGGTGTGCCACAAGGGTCGGTCTTGGGACCTTTATTGTTCCTTATTTTTATCAATGACATCGCAAGATTGCCCCTAAGGGGTAAAATATTTCTATTTGCGGACGACTGTTCGATATTTTATCCGGGCATTGTTCGATAGCATTGATGAAATCAGACTTAATATGATGGAGGACTTGATGAGTATTTTAGACTTAACAAATTGTTATTAAATGTAAATAAAACTAATCTCATTTGTTTTCGAAGCAAGCGAAAACTTGTTGATAAACTTGATTTAATTCACAATGGCGTTCTATTAAGTGAAGTCAATTGCGTTAAATTTCTTGGTGTAGGAACAGACTGTCTTCTGAGTTGGCAGGACCATATCAACTTAGTTGAAAATAAGTGGGCTATGGTCAATGGTTTACTTTATAGGGTCAGGTATAAACTTTCAACAAAAACAAAGAAATTAATTTATTTTGGACTTGCACACTGCCACTTAATTTATGCAGCTGATTCTTGGGCTTCGTTTTCTAACGTGAATAGAATTCAAGTGATGCAAAATCGACTTCTCAAAAATGTTTTCAATCTCCACTATCGTTATCACACGGTTGATTTATATTCGAACTTTAGTATATTGCCAGTAAAGTGTATTTATAGGTTTCAATTATTGTGCCACGTTTATAAAATAACTAAAAGCTTAATTCCAAACACTCTTCAAATACTGAGTTTCCAACATTCATATAATACAAGGAACAGAGATAACCTTGTTGCTTCACGTTCAATAAACATTGTCTCGTCACAGAATATCTCCCACAATGGGGTAATTTGATATAATGAACTTAATAGATCTATAAAGGACATAAATAATATATTACTTTTTAAAAGAAGATTAAAAGAATACTTATTAAACAGAAATATACTATTATCCATTCTCCAATAATTAATAATAATTAGTAATTAAATATGATTTGAATTTATTTCTTCAATGTAAATAATATTTGTACATGAAATAAAATAATGTAATTTGAAATGTAATAAATGAAAAGTAATAAATGTAATTATAAGTAAGTTTGTTAAATAGTTGCTAATTTTATAGTTCATAAGATCTTTTGGTTGAACTCTTGTTATAAAATTAATAATTGAATTTTGTATTCTAATAGGCTAAATAAATAATAAAAAAAAAAAGAATGTAAAAAAAAAAAATATTTTAAAAGTAGAATACACTTTAAGATAAGATATTTAAGTCGCATAGACAAAAATTATAAAAATACAAAAATAAAGACAAAACGAAAATTAAAAAAAATTATTGAATAAAAATTAGGTTTTCTTTTCTTTTTGAACAAAATTATATACATCTGTTACTAAAATATACAGATACGTGCTCCATTTTTCTTTCCATATTAATTTATATTCATTTCAAACACATTCAGATGCCAAAATTAATATAATTGTGTCAAAAAGTACAGATGTTTTGAAATCTACCATATAAAATTTTAAATTGTTTTCATGAAATTGCACGCGATGACATCATAATTTGTTTAGAGATTTTAAGAGCTTCAAGTATCCTACCTTATTTCTTTATACCATGGTATTGGGACTTGTTAGATGTAAAGACAGCTGTATTATCATATTTTATTCAATTCTCTCAGATATGTTGTCTGACATAGAGGTACAAAAAAATTTGGGTTGAAATTTGAATTCTTGATGTTGTTCGGAAAACTCCAAATTTCATTTTAGTATAAAAATTTTTAGGTTTTAATTAAGTTTTCGTATAAAACGCTCAAAAAGAATATAGGTAAATTTTTCCAAACAAATAACAAAAAACAATGATTCTTCAGAAATGTTATTCAATAATGTCAAAACAGCAGGGTCCAGGCCTTAATTATTTGTAATGTCAAGTCATTTTCCCTCATATTTGTGGCTTTCTTATACCAGACAGGATAACTATTAAAATTTATTGATTGCAAAAATTTTATACAAGGCTTTACTGCCAATTTTGAATGTGTATTCCTGCATGCAATTATTCATACCTGTGAAATATTAGGACAAAAACCCTTATATTTAAACGAAAAAAAATTGCAAATATTAAAAGCTTAATTCATTTATCTTCTTAAAAGAAATAAACGCACTTATACTGAAAAGCAAGCTATATTGTGAGAAATCAGAAGAGTTTTAAAATTGTTAGGCGAAAATATTATTTTGTTTGTATTACAGAATACTAACCTTTAATATAGTTTGATCTATAAAAGGCTACGTTTCTTTCGAAAATATCTTCATCGCAGATGTCAATAACTTTAGATTTTTTAGTTTCTGGTTCTTTAATCACATCATTTGGGATGAATCCTGGAGTTACATCACGCCTTCCAAAATTCCCTTTTTTCTGAAATTCCAACTGTTTTTCATAACAGTAATCACCAAGATTCCAAATTGAACTAAAATTAAATTAGTAACATTATTGACCTACTAATACACGATTTTGCATTTGTATATTTTTGTACCATATCTGATGTAAAGTTTGACAATTCAAAAACAGTCTCCCTCGAGCCGTTTCTTGCTGGTCTTTAATCATACTTTGTACACAATATTTCGTATTCGAAGCTGTGTTATCAAAATCAACACAAATCCTAAGGTAACGAATTATTACGTCATCTACTGGCAATAAAACTCCTAAAATGGTTTAAAAACTCAAAAACAAAATAATAGATGCTATAATGTCGTGCATCTTTACCATCTGGCTTAAAAATGGAAACATTATTTTGGGCTGCTCGGGCTATCATAACACTATTTGCAGCACACTTATTGCGAAATTTAATTATATCTGAATGCTTTTCGATTTCTTTTGACCCTCCATTCGCTATTATTGGAATTCTAACAGCCTTTACAACCGCCTTAATGAAATCTAGGATTGGAATTTAAAAAAAAATTACAACAGGTAGGTATCAATACATATATTTTACCCGGATGTGGATCATGTTGCGGCCTTTCATCTTTCATTCTTGCGTGAATTGCAACCGCCGCTACCCCTGCTGAAGCGAATTTTTTCACAATTTCTATAGTTTCTTCTATGGTAGGTAAAATGCTGAAATTAAAACGAAGGTAGGTATAATAAATTAATTAAAAGTACTGATTAGTTTGTACCGTATTTTACAAGTAATGGGAATCTTCAAATGTTCTACTAAACTCTTTAAAATTGCCATCGCTTTTTCTTGTTGACTTAATAGGGCAACCCCCATGCCACCTTTCACAGAAAATTCTTTCGGACAGCCCATATTTATGTCTAAAGCAGCCACATCGTTCTGAACTAGTTTCCCAACTAAAACAGCTCTTTTTTCACATGAGGTTCCTAATTGCAAAATTACCTTGTTTTTCTCACGATCGCATGTTCTAAATATAACAGACCCATCCGACGGATCTATAAAATCGACAGTTTGAAGGACTCCTACAAAAAGAATCTTAATTACTCTGCAAATTAAAAGTCATTGCTTTTACAACTGTTTACTGTTCTAAAACATTTAATTAATTTTAGATCTACAAGCTCTTCTGAATATACCAAATCAGCGCCGTATTCCAAGGCTAATAACCGCATTGGCAAAGTCCCAACCCTAACCATTGGTGCAAGAATAATTTTGTTTTCAAATGTGATTTTGTGGTCTTCCATCCCATTTGTATGCTGCACATTATTCAACAATAATATCATAGATTTATTTTAACAATACATATAGTTTTAAAGCAAATACATATGTACATTCATACATATTATTACGGTTGCCACTCATGAAAAAATTAATAGGTCAAATTTTCGAAAAAAACCACATTCAAGCAAAAAGAGCCAAATAAGATAATATTTTTAATTTTAGAAATCACAGACTTATTTGTGGTCTGATTTGAAATTAAATACAAATATCAACCTTTTCTTGGAAATTTGTCGTTGGTGTATTGTATGAAGTTTGAAAAATTTTGGAGGTGTATCAAATTAAAAGTGAAATCTTCATTTTAACAAGCATGAAAAATGACAAAATAAGGTTCATATAAAAATGTTTGCAATTATTTCAGTAACTTACAACTAAAAACACAATCTGATAAGAGAAAGGTCGTGTCAAATGGCCACTACACGGGCTATAACACAATTTTAACATATTACTACATTTTTATAATCAAATTTTAAATAAAAAACTTTTGGAAAATAAAATAAAGTTTTCTTAAAGTTTTAGAAAATAGGCCAAATACGACAAGTTTCAAAAAAATTAACCATGAGGCTAACATTATTTTAGATAAGAAAAATGGGCAACGTTTGGGATAAAGTGGCAACACTTGATGTGATAGATATCTGATGTCGACAACCGATCTAACCAATTCAAAATAACATCAGGAACGATAATACGGAAATATCGAAAGAACTCGATAATTGCCGTTCATTTTATAAGCGCATCGATAAATTTTTTAGATATCCTATTAATTTATTACAATTAACGAATTAGAAATACCAAAGGAAGGTATATGTTAAAATAACAATAAAGCAAAATTCTTTCTAGGTGACTTTGTCTTTGTTCCAAGCGTTGTCAAACTTATCTGGCCTTCATTTAAAATATGTGTAAGAAAGATAGGTTAAAACGTTTTAAAGTAAAAATTAATAATGTTTTAAGATTGAAGATTTGAAATATCTGTAAAAAATATTAAATTTAAACAAAACACACTATTTTTATCTTTTTGAATAAACTTATTTTATAAATTGAAATTAAATACATGTATGTATTTTGATATTAAAATACTGAAAATGAAATTTTTGTTAAAGAATTTCGAATATTATCAACCTTATTTCACAATTCTATACTTTAATCAAACTACAGAAAAATAACATGCTCTTCGTCCTTCCATTTACATGTTATAGAAAATTGGATTCAAAGTATATAAGTTCTTTTTACTTAACCTTTATCCGACGAGGTGGTAGTAAATTTTACACCATCGCTTTTGATTTTGTAGTTACTCCCTTATATTGCTCTCTCACACTTTAATATTCTCTATACCTTCATTCTGTTGCATGCTCTCTTACTCAGTGTTCATTTTGTTATCGTGTGTAAAACTCATACGGCAAAATTAGGAGAGAGGTGTAAAATTTTCTACCAGGTCGGCGTTTGTGGGATTTTTTCAAAGAAAATATTTTACTACCACATCTAACCCAGCATTTACACATACAAGTTGCTTGCAAGCAAGTTTGTATAATATTAATTGTCAATTAGTTTTTCCAAATGTCAAATTACTTGCTATTATGACGTAGGCGTTTAGCAAGTTAATTTTTGAAAATGTCTTTGAGAAGAAAACAACTAGCAATATATATAATTGTTTATAAATTTTAGAAACCATAAGTTTGCTAAGTTTAATTTTTTCAAAACAAAATTCAAAAATTTTAAATTAAAAAAAAAAAATCAAAACAACAAATTTTTTTTTGTGAATTTCTCAATATGTCAAATTACTTGCTCAAATTACTGGCAACAAAATTTTCTTGCAAGTTGAACTGCAAGTAAACAAGCAAGTAGAAATATTTCAATGTGTTAGTAAAATTTTTGTATGTATTGCAACTTTCTTGCAAGTAACTTGTACGTGTAAATGCTGGGTAAGTTAAGGTAACTACTTCATGAAAAAAAAATACTACACCTCTACATTATCGTTAATTTTCAATAGAAAAATTTTTACACCACGTCTATATTTAAGTTACCATATATGTATAAGGCGCTAAAAATTTCGATTGTTATAATATTACCAAACAATTTTTTAGAATACAGCATAGTACGGACAATTCAGAAATAGAAAGAATTTTGGAGGACGATGAAAATTATGACGACGAAGATGATGTAAGTGAAGTAGATGATGACATTATCGATCCAAACTTTTGTCCAGAAACTCTTAGCGACGTCAATTCAGAAATAAGCGAAGTGGAAAGTGATGAAGAAACTGTCGAAGAAATACATATACAACCGCTTTAAATGACGAAGTAAACGAAGAAGAAATGCAAATGAATACTTCCGCACCTTCTTATTAATACGAAAAAACCGTTTCGAATGGGCTGTGCAAGAACCAACCCGGTGTAGCAGAACTCCTGTACATAATATTGTTAGACTACCAACTTCAGTGGGCTTAGCAAATAATCCGGATGAACCACAAAATGCGTTTTATCAATATTGGGCAAAAATATTTCATGATACTATAGAAGATTTAATTATAGAATATACGAATAGAAAACTTCAAATTAAATTTAACTCAACAAAAAGTATAGAAGCTTATTAATTTACTCTTCAATTTTTAAGTCTAACAGAGAATCAATAGACCTCATCTTTGCAGCAGACGGAACGGGTTGAGAAATTTTTAGAGCTGTCATGTCGAAAAATAGATTTGTGACCATACTTTCATGTTTGCGTTTTGATGATTTTTCTAATCGAAAACAAAAATTACCAAATGATCCACTAGCTGCTATTTCAGAAATATTCAATAAAATAATAGAAAACTGTAAAAATAGTTATTCCATGGGGACTCATGCTTGTGTTGACGAAATGATAGTGCCATTTCGTGGAAGATGCAAGTTTAAAGTTTATATGCCGCAAAAACCGGCAAAATACGGCATAAAAATTATGGCTTTAACCGATGCTCGTACCAATTATTTAGCCAATGCTTATATTTATCATGGAAAAAATTCTGATGGAATTAGTCTTAGTAGAGAAGAACAAAAACTTGCAGTACCAACTCAAGCTGTATTAAGATTATATAAGCAAATTGAAGGAAATAACCGCAACGTTACCGCTGACAATTGGTTTTCTTCCATACAATTAGTACAGCAATTAAAGCAACGTGGACTCACTTATTTGGGTACATTGAGAAAAAATAAAAAAGAAATTCCTCCAGACTTTTTACCAAATAAGTCCATATAGATTTACTAAAGATATGACTCTTTTATCATATGTGCCACGAAAACGTCACACTGTTATTTTAATATCATCAATGCATCATGGAAAAGCCAATGATCCAACTACAGATAAACCTGAAATAATAGCCGACTATAGCAACATGAAAGGCGGCGTCGATGAGCTCGATAAAAAATGCTCAATTTACTCATGTAATCTTCGAACACGTCGCTGGCCTTTGGCTATATTTTATAGATTACTGCATATCAGTACTGTTAACGCCTATGTTTTACATCAATCTTTGCGAAATTATAAAAATATTTGTAGAGCTAATTTTTTAAAAACTTTAGCACGAAATTTAATCGTGAAACACCTACAGGGGAGGGAGCACAATGAAAGAATAAACCGCGAGTTACGTATCCCTATAGGCAGAATACTTGATTCAGATTCTCTTCCTGCACCTTCTAAGGAAAAACCCGTTACGTTAAGCAAATTATGTTATATTTGTCCATCTAAATTAAAAAGGAAAACTACACATACTTGTTTAATTTGCGAAAAGCCAATGTGCATGGGTTGCAGTAAACGCATGTGTATTAACTGCACAAATGTCGATATTAATGAATAATATTTTACACTAAAAGACTGCTTGTTATTTTTTAGATCATAAGTTATATTTAATGTTTATAAATGTTTATAAATAATATACAAAATTTAAAAAAAAAGTATAAACGAAATGTTTATACTTTTTTTTTAAATTTTGTATGTCCGGCTGTGAAAAAATGCTTATTGATTTTTTGTTGTATTAATTTTTTATTTCGTTTTGAATAGTACAAACAAAAAAACTTTTGAAATAAAACACGAAGTTTTGGAAAAAAATCATATTTTTTTCTTTTTTTCTTTCAAGAATGTGTTTAGAAATATTAAAATTAAATTTATTTCAGTATTTGGGTAATATAAATTTAATATATTAATATATTTGAATCTTACAAAATAAGGTGTAAAAATTACTACCACTTCGACGAATATGTTACAAAATTTCATCTCGTAGGTTAAATGTTAACAGTAAACTTGGTTTGGTTGGCATTTTATTTATTGAAAAATTTTGAAAAAGTACTTTTGTATTTCGAGTATAAATGACTAAAACTAATAAAAACAATAGATTTTAATTTACTAAAAATTATTATGAATTTAAACATATTTTTTTTAATTTTTTTAAGTTTCTTTCAAAATTTTCCTTAATTTGAGGAAAAAATCCCAAAAGTAAATCATTCACAATAGGGAAACAAGTTATCTTGGAAAAAATGTTTTACTTTGGCAAATTTTTTTTATATAAAAGTTGCAGTTGTTATTCAAGAATAACATGTTATTCGCTGTGGTGTGAATAGGGTGTTAGTGAACAACTGAACAATATTAATGATAAAATATATATGTACATATGTGTATATTTTAATGCCTCTAAAACAGTTTTATTTTTAACAAATTTTAACTAATTTAATGTTTATTACTCTCTGAAGTAGTTGGTATGTTGTCGTATTCTTCCTCATTAATTAATTGAGCTTCACATACTAATTTATTCTAAAACAACATACATACATATGTATTTCATAAATAATTCACCCTAATATTTTATATTTCTTACTGCATTCAACTTCATTGGTGAGTCTTCATATATATTTTTGATGAATCTTCACTCTAAAAAGGGAAAAAATAAAAAAGACAATTCATATTTAAAAAAAAATATTTTATACATATAAATTATGTAAATCATTTGCCATTAAATAAATTTTACCACATGATCTCATTTTGTATTTTAAATTAAAATATTATAAACACTAAGTACTATTTGATTAAACATTTAGAATGAAATCTTCAAATATTGCAATCCACTTTCTATTCCTTTCATCATTTCTAGCAAAACTGCAAATATGTAAATAGGAGCCCATTTTAAATATCGTATTTATGGTAATTTTTAATAAACACAAAGTAATTTTGCTTAGAAAAAAATTCCCTTCTGATGTAATTATGTATGTACATATGTCACCCGAATAATTTTGGTTTACAACAAAACACAAACAAATGTTTTCTTTCCAAATTAAAAAATTTAACAAATTTACGAATTATAAATAAAACTTAGTACTATTGAAAAAATATATGAATGATAGTTATAAATGATATGAAAATGAATTATGAAAATATATGATATTTATATAATGATATTTATATATAAGTAAATAATATTCATATATGTACGTATGGCG